ATGGAAAACAGTATAGAGGTATCTCAACAATTAAAATTAGAAATACTGTATGATCCAGCAATCCTCCTACTAGATATCTATGCAAAGGAAAAGAATCAGTATGTCACAGAGATAGCTGCACTACCATTCGCCTGTTCATTGCAACGTTATTCACAATAGTCAAGACATGGAATCAACCTAAGTTTCCATCAGCAGATGACTGGATAAAGAAAATGTGATACATACACATGATGGAATACGATTGAGTTATTAAAACAAAAAAGAAAATCTGTTATTCTAGACAATATAGTTGAGCCTGGAGGAGTTTATGTTAAGTGAAATGAGCAGGCATAGAAAGATAAATATGGGTGGTGCCTGTGGCTCAGTGTGTAGGGTGCCCGCCCCATATACCGAGGGTGGTGGGTTCAATCCCAGCCTCGGCCAAGCTGAAACAACAACAACAAAAAAGTACATATACACACACACACACACACACACAAAAAGAAAGATAAATACTGCATGATCTCACATACATTTGAAATCCAAAAAAGTTGAACTTATGTAGTGTATGTACACTATGGAATATTATGCAGTCTTAAAGAGAGATGGAGACTTTACCTCCTTCATGTGTACATGGATGGAGCTGGAAAATATTCTTCTTAGCAAAGTATCCCAAGAATGGAAGAAAAAGTATTCAATGTACTCAGCCTTACTATGAAACCAATTTATAGCTTTCATATGAAAGTTATAACCCAATTATAGCCCAAGAATATGGGGAAAGGGGAGAGGAAGGGGAGGGGAGGAGGGAGAATGGGTAGAGGAGGGTGATTGGTGGGACCACACCTATGGTGCATCTTACAAGTGTACATGTGAATCTTTCTAAATGTAGAATATAAAATGTCTTAACACAATAAGTAAGAAAATGCCATGAAGGCTATGTTAACCAGTTTGGTGAAAATATTTCAAATTGTATATAAAACCAGTGCACTATACCCCATGACTGCATAAATGTACACAGCTATGATTTAATTAAAAAAAAAAAAAAGAAGAAGAAGAAGAAGTGGAGAGTTGAATGGTGGTTACCAAGAGTTGGAGTGGTGGATGGAGAGGGGTTGGGGAGATGTTAATAGCAAGAAAATAAATAAAAATTGAATACAGAATTTCAATTAGATAAGAGGAAGATTACATGACCTTATATGTATATAGATAATAAGTTCAAGAGATCTATTGTACAGCATGGTGACTACAGTTAATAAGAATATGTAGGATTCTTTAAAAATGCTAATAATAGATTTTGTGTTTTTATCATAAAAATGATAACTATGTAGATTAATGTATTTTTTAATTAGCTAAACTTAAGCCACTCCACAATGTGTATATACAGAGAGTACAAAAAATGCATACACATTTTAAGAAAGGAAAGCACTGTATTAATATTATAATACTCAATATTGTCTACCCTGTACTGATAACAAGAGGAATGCAAGTCAGCTTTGATCACCTCTTGTAATTGAAGAAGTCAAACATGACCTGAATATTATAATTTTATTTTATTATATATATATATTTTTTGAGACAGAGCCTCAAGCTGTTGCCCTGGGTAGAGTGCAGTGACATCACAGCTCACAGCAACCTCCAACTCCTGGGCTCAAGCGAGTCTCCCGCCTTCACCTCCCAAGTAGCTGGGACCACAGGCGCCTGCCACAACGCCTGGCTATTTTTGGGTTGCAGCCGTCATTGTTGTTTGACGGGCCCGGGTGGATTCAAACCCCCCACCTTAGGTGTATGTGGCTGGCGCCTTAGCCACTTGAGCCACAGGTGCCGAGTCGAATATTACAATTTTAATACAGTTTTTTCCTTTCTTAAAATATGTATACATTTTTTTGGCACCATCTGTATTTTATTTTTTTCCTTAAAAAGTTAACATTTCTTGATCTATTAAAAATTATGATGTATATCAACACAATAATTGTGTGCAGTTCATATTACATTCTTACTGTATTTCAAACACTATCTGTATTTTAAAACATCGTATTGTACAATATAAATATAAACAATTTTGTCAATTTAAATAAAGTAAAATAAAATGTTAAAGAAAGAAAACAATGCTATTTCCAGTGGCATCAAAAAGACAAATAGGAATAAATTTAACAAAAGAAGAGAACAACTTATACTTTGAAAAGTCAAAATATTATTGAAATAAATTGAAGAAGACCTAAACAAATGGAGATATTTCTCTTATTCATGCATTAAAAGATTATCATTGAGATGTAGTCCCCCATAAGTTGATCTACAGATTCAGTGAAAGCCCTATCAAAATATCCCAGGTTCTGGGGCAGGTTCAAACCTGGCCCTAGCCAAACTGCAAAAAAAAAAAAAAAAAATAGCTAGGCGTTGTGGCAAGTGCCTGTGGTCACAGCTACTCAGGAGGCTGAGGCAGGAAAATAGCCTAAGCCCAGGAGTTGGAGGTTGCTGTGAGCTGTGACACCTAAGTCCAGGAGTCGGAGGTTGCTGTGAGCTGTGACTCTGTCTCTAAAATAAAATAAAATAAAATAAAATAAAAATATCCCAGGTTTCTTTTCAGATATTGATAAACTAATTCTAAATTCATATGGAAATTCAAGGTCCCAGAATATAGAAAACAATCTTGAAGAAAAAGAAAGTTGGAAGCCTCACATTTTTCTATTTTAAAACTTACTATAAAACTACAGTTATTAAGATAATGTGCCACTGGAATAAGAATAGACCTATAGCTGAATGGGATCGGATTGATATTCAGAAATAAACCCTTGTGTTTATCACCAACTGACTTTAACAATACTGTCAAAACAATTCAATGTGGAGAATGGGCAATTCACTCTTCAACAAAGGGCGCTAGGATAACTGGATAACCACCCAGAAAAGAACAAAGTCAGATCCCTATGTAACACTACATACAAAAATTAATTTAAAATGGACTAAAGGCCAAAGTTTAAGACTAAAATTATAGAACTCTTAGAAGAAATCATAGGCATGAATCTTTGTGACCTTCCACCAAGCAGGTGTCACTTAGATATGACCCCAAAAGTACAAGCAACCAAAGAGAAAATAAATAGTACATAATCAAAATTCAAAACTCTTGTATTTCAAAGAAGACCATTAAAAAACTGAACAGACAACCCACATAATGGAATAAAAAAAAATTGCAAATCATATTTCTGATAGGAATTTGAATCTAAAATATACAAAGGACTCTGCAACTCAATAATAAAAAGGTAAATAAAACAACTTTTAAAAAAAGAAAGTCTCCAAATATACATTTCTTCAAAGAAGATCAACAAGCAGCCAATAAAAACATGAAAAGATGCTCAGCATCATTAGGCCTCAGGAAATTTAAATCAAAACCACAATGAGGTATCACTTCACACCCAGTAGAATAACTATAATTAAGAAGACAAATAATAATAAGTGTTGGTGAGTGTGCAGAAAACTCAGGACTCTCATACACTGCTGGAAGGAATACAAAATGATGGAGTCACTTTGGAAAACAGTCTGACAGTTCTTTGCAAGTCTAACTATAGTTATCACATGACCCAGCAATTCTACCCCTAGGCTACACCCAGGAGAAATGAAGACATTTGTCCACACAAAAACTTGTACAAGAATGTTCACAGCATGGCTCAGCACCTGTGGCTCAAGTGGCTAAGGCACCAGCTACATACACCCGAGCTGGCGGGTTTCAATCCAGCCCCGGCCTGCCAAAAACAATGACAACTACAACCAAAAAATGGCCGGGCATTGTGGTGGGTGCCTGTAGTCCCAGTTACTTGGGAGGCTGAGGCAAGAGAATCGCTTAAGCCCAGGAGTTGAAGGTTGCTGTGAGCTATGATG